AAGTCAAAAAATAACCCATAAAAAATTAATTCCATAAACCGCGTCTAAAAGCGGAAACCGCGTGTGCTGCGGTGCATCAAAACCGCGTCAAAACGCGGTTTTTCCGCGTTTTTTTATTAAGACCCAAAATTAATGGTTCTTTTTGAAAAATGCAATTAGACACATTTTTTCAATTAATTTTTGACAGATTAATAATTAATTTTCATTATTTTTTGACATTTTAAATTTTTTCCCTTACTTTAAGAGGTGTGAAATTTGATGGTAATGACTATTATGCATAAAACCAAAGATTTTTATTGAATATTGTGTTGGACAGGATTTTTTAATGTTTTTTTAATTAATTTTTGCCAGCTTAATTTCCATCATTTTTTGAAAATTTGAAATTATTTACTACACTTTGAGTAGTGTCAAAGCTTATGGTATCATTTATTTTGACCAGAAATGAAAGCTTCAATCTTAATATATGAGTGTACCCCATTTATTGCATAATTAAATTATACAAATTATGATAATTTGTACCGTAGAAAAGAAAAAATAAATAAATAAAAAACAAAAAATTAAAACCACTTTGCCAACTGCTCAACAAAAAAAATTCAAAAGCAAAAAGAAATATAATTTTTTTACATTTTCCATATTTCTTGGAGGGTCACAGGCTGCAAGCAGCAAAGGAAAAAAAATGAAAAAATAAAAATAAATTGAAGGCTTGAAGGCCGCAAGAAATTCAAAATCAGTGTTTATGCAGCTTTCTGCATCTGAAATTTCCCCAAGAAACTTTCATTTTGCAGCCTGGGGGTCATTTTTGGGGCGGATATCCGCGGGTATCCGCGCGGATACCCGCCAGGGCAAGCAGGTATCCGCCAGAGGATGCGGATGTCTGATTTGGCTGAAAACGTAAGCGGATATCCGAATCCAAACGGATATCCGGATGCGCCGGGCCCATCTCTAGTCGATATCGATAACCGCGGGGCTTGAGACTTGAATCGATGAGCTAGGCAAGTCTGTCGAAAGTGAAGTTGTACTAGCCACCTGGGCCTTCTTGCCTCTAGCATCGTTCTCTCGCTGGGTCGCCTGCCACTTTGGGGTGTCTTTCAAGATGCCCCAGCAATGGTCGAGGTTGAAGGGAGACCCAGAGGCGGTAATATAGAGGGCTTTAGCCTCAGTGAGCTGAATCCAACAAAAACAGTCAGATTAATCAGTAAATCATCATACAAAAGGGCCAGTGAGATCAAAAAACTTACAATATCATTGCGGGTCTTTCCGCTCTTCAACCAACGTTTGGCGTTTGAATAGCAGCCTACAAATTTGTTAACGCTCTTGAGGATAAGCCCCGGCCAGCGACATTCAACAGCACCCACGGGTCGGAGAGGAAGGGGTTTAAATCCTTTTGAATTCCTTTTCTCCTCATTGTAATTGACGATGAGTTCCGTAAGACTTGCGTGGATTCGTGACCAAAAGGTCGTAGCCTTCTGACCTTTCCCAACAATGGCGTCCCGAGTAGTGTTTAACCAAGCAACACATAGTTTTTTGTCCTCTTCAATGCAATGGTCCAACAAGGAAAGCCCTTTTTGGGGGTCGGTTTCTTTGCCTTGGGGGTGGTATCGTTGTTGATATTGGAATCCTTGGCCGGTACAGACGTTGGTTAAACCTCGGTTGATTTGTTTTTCTTTTTAGTTTTTCTTTTTTTTTTTCTTTTGAGTGCTTGGAGTTGATGTTGGCGTCTGGGTTGCAGAAGGGAGATTGGATTTGGGAGTTTTCTTTGGAATTTTTTGAGCCATTTTTAGTGTTGACGTTGAGTGTTCTAGAGTAGCAGGGACAGAGTGCGGCTGGGAGGTGGGCGGCAGAAGTCAGCAGCCTACTGCGGGTTTGAATTCCCCCCGTGATTTTCCCAGGGTTGAACTGCAGGACCGCTGGAGCAGAAAATGGCCCCCCGGTTGCGCGAGTGCGGCTCCGTTGGAGTTGCTCTAACCACGAAAAACTACATTTTTTTATTACAGCCCTATTTTTAGCTGTCTACCAGCTTGCATATAGTTGTGACCAAATGCACTATTCACAAGCAATCTGAAATCCTAATTAATTCTTTTTTTGAATTTGAACAAGAGTGCCCCTCATCTGTTCTTCAAAGAATGGCCAATCTTGTCTTGAATGCACAGTATATTCCATCTTCCTTTTCCCAACTTTTCAGTTCCAGAAAGATGAAGTTAGTACTATTACTCCAATGTCACTCACTGATTAGTACAAACTCACTTCAATACACAGCCATTGTACTTCACACTAAGCTGCCATGAGGTATTATTAATAGCTAAACTAAAAACAAAAAATCTGAAAGAGAATCACATCAAAAATTGATGAATCACAGTCTGAAGTGGTTTTTGATAGAACTAACTTGCAGAAACATCTGAGTGGAAGAAACCAGGGCTCTAAAATGACGGGGAGAAATTAGTCAAGTAATTTTCGGACCCGCGAAGGATAGCGGATTCCAAAAATTTTTGCTCTTTCATCAGACAAGGTCTCTTGCGAAACCGCAAGTAACAAATTGAAAAATCCTTGCCAGGAACGCGTAATGCCTTCATGGCCAACTATTTCCAACCTCCGATAGTATTCCTCGGATGATATCCAATACCCCAAGTATCGCCACATCGATGCCATTGTGCTTCCTCTTTGGCCTAGCGGGCCTTCTTGACGGGATTCCTTTGCCTTCGAGTCATACTCTGCGAAACGGATTAGGGAGTTCTTGAAAGCTTCTGTTTTGCCTACGCCGGCGTTCTCTGCAGGTTTTGGGATGATTGTCATTATCATGTCCACAAGGAATAAGTAAGTAAACAAATTTTTTTGAAAATGTCTTGTATCTTTGGCGTGCAAGGAAGTAGATATCTGGAGTTGCATTCGGTCCTCGTAAGCTTTCTGCCAAATATCGTAAGTCGACCGAATATTTCGAAATGCGTATTGCGCTAAAACTGATGGATTCGTAGCCACCAGCTTTTCATTAGAAAATCCCATTTTTTTTCTGATCGAAGTCCAATCCTCTGCTGACAGTTTCATTTGTTGGGAATTCTTTTTGGAGTACAATAATACCGGCTGCTTCATTTCCGGGTCGATCATCCCTTGAAATAGTTTTTGCAGATGTGGGAATATGATCTCTGCACCTGGAGGTATTACTGTGCTTTGAAAAAGTTTAGAATCGAACACCAATTCCCCCTGGGTAACCTGGCTGGGATAGAGCCGGTAAGTGAGGTGCAGATCCACCCGATGTGAACGCAGATTTAATTCAAGACGTTCCGGCAGTTGTTGATCAATTTTGATTCTTTTATTTGTTGCTTCAGGTGGTTCATCGACCTTTCTGATCCTGGTGGGCAACTTAACCGGGCGGCTAGATGTGCTTTCAGGCGATTTTGCTGTCTCTATATGTTCGATCAGTTGCTCGTAACCACCGGGCCCTGACCTGCCGCTCGAATCTTCCGATTGAATCGACTCGTAGGTGTCACGCACGTGTTGAGAATAGAGTTTATTGTAGACATGACTTTCTCTGGGGTTCGAGACTAGCTGTCCCTCGTCCACAGAGGATTCCGCTCGGTTTTTTGCTGAAGGTGAGGATGAAGTTGTGGGATGATGAGAATAGGCATCAGGTGTGCCATAAGTATTTCCGTGATACCAAAGATCCCGCTCAGGAATGAGAGGAGCAAGACCTTCAAATATATCGTGGTCTAAGGCTGCATTACAGCCAACAGTGAGCTTCAACAGGGCTATCCAAGGGCTGTTTCGAATCTTCATGGTCGCTGAGAGTTTACTTTTACGCTACGTTTATATCCGGAGGAGAACCGATGGAATCATGAAGTTTGCCCACAAATGAAATGTGATGCGAAAAGCACTTGAATATTTGAATCCCAGGACAGCCAAGGACAGGCAACTTCATACTGGACTAGCAACAAATATGACATTCACACCGTGCATGTAGAGGAGATGGGTAAGTCTTGACTCCCGACGTGTTTCATCCCTGAAGAAAGGTATAATTAGTAATCCGAAGAAATTTTCAATGATCATGATCCTCACAATGCTTGAAACCTCTTTTCCCCCAAAAGCAGATGTAGACCATCTTATGGAGTAAATTTGTACATGATGAAGCAGAGTGTTGAACAATCTGATTTGCGTCCATGGTGTCTCAACTGCCAGCAGTTATTGCCCAGACATCACTGTCCAAGCACAGATTTGCCCACCCTTATGGTACACACTGCCTAAAATAACCGCTCGGACAAGCCGGTCCGATGAGTCATTGTGCCGGCTTGTCTGAGCAATTGATCCAGGCGACAGTGTGTTTGGTTTGGTAAAATTTCCCAAAAAAAAAAAAAAAAAAAGGTTTCTTGTTTTCAGATTCCTTCTTGAGAACCCATATTCAACATTTTGGCCAAATTTTATCATTTTATGGGTGTGCCAATTGTTCCCCTGAAGTGACAAACAAGCCAAAAGAGTTGAAAAAACACATTTACAAACCCAATCTCTATGCCTCCATTCTGCCATACTGGCCAGGCTGTATATGTTGTAGGGTGTGTGCAAACTCCACATTTGGAGTATGGAAGGATAAGAGGTGGGTGGGGAGGAGTAATGAATGGATAAGGGTTTTTGATCTCTTTTACATACACAGTATCAATGCCACGGGGCTTTCAAACATGGCACAAAGATGATTGGGCATCAAAGTACAGCCAATTCCAAAAACCTTGCAGTTTTGGGAGGGCTGTATTTCAGAAGGATTTTTTAGCACCACCAAATTTTACTGCCTCACGGCCTGTACAGATGACGGTACAGGTTCTGATTTGGCTGCTGAGGCCCTGGTGTGGGTCCGGATGCCTGCCAGCTGCCAGGCAGGGGTAGGGCAAGCCTCCATGTGATGAGCGGCTCCAGACCAAAAAATTGAGAGGATTACAATCATCTAAGTCCCATGAACTCAACTCAAAAAATGTAGGAGTTGGGTCCTGTTTCCTGAAGTAATGTGGCCATACAGAGCTATGTACAGTGGGTAGACAGTGAAAAGTGGCTGCTTATATTGGATTCCAGAGCTCCAAAACACAGACTCAAAGTCATGAGACTTGGTCAGGTGGTGCATAATAGGTCCCAGAAAATGAATATGAAAAAATAAAAACAAAAAATCAAGTTTCAAAATTTGTGAAAAATAAAAAATAAAATTGATTTTTTCCAAAAGCTTTGATATTCATTTTGGGGGAGTGGGAGTGCTGAGAGAAAGAAAGATGGAACATGTGAAGAATGATTATAACTGAAAAAATTGGAACCAAAAAAGGTTTGGCCAGGTTGTTTGTCCAGATTGGAGCCAAAACAGTAATTTCTAGTGCTTTACTGCAATGTGGGCTGGTGAATGCCCCACTCAACAGCTGTTTGAAGTAGAGATGGTCGCGGATAATCCGCCGCGGATATCCGCTATCCGCTGGCGGATACCCGTCAGTGCCAGCGGGTGTGGATTCAGGTGCGGATGTCCTTTTCCGCCCAAAATCCTGGCGGATATCCGGGTATCCCAAGGGATACCCGGTGCCAAGAGGCCACACCGCTGGGAGGAATCCCTCCCAGCAAGCTGGTTTTAAACCAGCTTGTTGGGAGGGGTTCCTCCCGGCGAGCTGGTCTGTGTACCAGCTTGTCGGGAGGGGTTCCTCCCGGCGAGCTGGTCTGTGAAAAAAAACTCTCCTGGAAGAGCCGTCTGCCTTGCCGCCCATTCAGAGGGCGGGTATCTTGCCAGCGTGATGCGGATGTGTGTTTCCGCTGAAATCGTGAGCGGATATCCGGATTCAATGCGCCCATCTCTGGTTTGAAGCCATCTGGAAACCACTTTTTCCAAAACTTCATTTATAA